AATTTCATAAGTAGAGGTACCATTGTATGTACATCGCTGCTTGGATAAATGGACTCCAGTGGTAAGCAGTACATCTGAGGTGATGTCAGGTGATATCAAATCTACATCTGCAAACTGGCATTGCAGTCAACAAGATATACACAAGTACATGGACTCTTCAGTGTACTGGATGAACTGCCAATCTCTAGGTTGATCTTAGCTAGGGACCAGCAACCTTTTGGAGACCTGGGCTGGTCTCCCGTAGCCCAGGTTTCGGCTGGGCCAAGGGGGGGGATGGTAGCGCACGCGCGCACCCTCCACTGGCGCGCGCAGCCCCCCACATGCCACCGCTGTGCATGACATGGCAGCAGCGGCGGCAGCATGTACGGGGGGGGGCGCATGTCGGTGGAGGGTGCGTGCGGACTTACCGCTGTGGCCCGCTGATGAAAGCGAGCGGCGGCGGAGGTGGCGGCGGAGCCGGAGGCAGCGGCGGCAGCGGAGGCAGAGGCGGAAGCAGCGGAGGAGGCGGAGGGAGGCAGAGGCAGTGGCACCTCCGCCTCCTCCTCCGCCGCCGCCGCTGCCTCCACCGCGGCCTGTTTTGGTCGGCGCGTTTGTTTATCAAAATGGCGGCTGCGACGCGTTTGCGCATGCGCAAACCCTGCGCATGCGCAAACGCATCATGGCCGCCATTTTGGAGACCAAAATGCCGGCCGCGGCGCAGTCAGTCGCACACCGACCAAAACAGGCTGCGGAGGCGCTGTGGCGGCGGCAGCGGCAGGGGTCCGCCTGGGCCGGTAAGTCCGGCGTACTGGGCCGGAACCGGCCCGCGGGCCGTAGGTTGCCGACCCCTGATCTTAGCTATTGATAAGAGTTACTTCTGATGCGGGTGAATTGGGCCGAAAGCCTCATGTAATTGCTAGTCTAAAATAGTGCAGACCCACTAAACCAATTGCTGAATGGTAAGTCAACACTTATGTAAATCCTATTGATTTCCATGGTTCAGCAGCCCAAGAAGCTATAGCATTTCCATTTGCAAAATGACAACATTTTGCAAGTAATAAAAGGATTGCTAAACCTAGGGCCTTTACAGACTGCCAGAAATAGTGCAACTTGCGTTCACTTTGGGCCTTTGCTAGAAATAGTGCAAATTGAGTCCTGGCTCAGTGCTAAGGAATCATAGGAATTATAGTTTTTTTCTGAGACATTAAGCCTTCTCTGTCAGAGAGCTCTGGTGCCACAATAAACTACAGTTCCCGTGATTCCCTAGCACTAAGCCAGGGCAGTTAAAGTGGACTCAAGTTGCATTATTTCTGGCATCTGTAAAGGCCCTTAGTTGCCTTTGCTATTAAAACTGGAAGGAATTTCTATCTAGTGTTGGCATGTCCTTTACAGACAAACAGCTCAATTCCTTGCAGATATAGGCATATCTGAACTCTCTGAAATTAGTACGCATAAATATTTCAACATCTATACATGATTGCAGCTAATATTACTTAGCTGTGACATGACTTGGGCACCATTTGCATGACTGTGAAACTCAGATCAGTGGTCAATGGGACCAAAGAATTTACATTTTCCATGTCCTGCAGGGAAATATCCTATGACATTGTGGAACAGTGCATCCTTTCACAGTTATAGTTCCAAGCACAACACAACAGGACGCAAGTGCTCCACTAACATCCTGCATTTTTTGGAAGTGTTTCATAGAAACATGAACTGTAATTGGCATTTCCTGTCCCTATGAAGATGACATTTCTTTTAATGCATGAAAAAAAAAAAAGCAACAACCCATTTTGTATCTTTACAAAATAATTTAATTTGTGGGATTCCACATTCACTACTGATCATGTGTTTTGGTAAAATATCTATCTGTAATTACTTCTGGGTCAATAGATTTAATTCCAGTTTTTTTAACCTGAACTTCAAGTACAATAACATCCAAAATCCGCACAACAGTGATACCTTTATTGAGCCAACCAAAGATGCACAAAATACATTATGCAGGTTTTCAAAGCTCCACTGACTTCTTCATCAGGCAAAAGTGTTAAAAATCATACAGGAGGAAAAAAATATGATGATGTTAGTCATAGGCCTGCATTTTGTCGTAATATTGTTGGCTTTATTCTGAGTTAAGAGGGTATGACGAGATATCCATGCAGGCAGACCTCTGCTCCTGGCCACGTGGGTACTGGGAGACAAAGTCAGAAAATACAATTTAATTTCCATTGGCAACACAAAAAGATTATTCTTTTGAGATCCAGGATATCTCTGTCCTTTGTGAGGCTACAAACCCCTTTGAGTAGAGTAGAGTCCAGTGAAGCTTCGAAAGCTTGCAACATGTATTTTGTGCATTTTCATTGCCCCAAGAAAGGTATCACTGTTTTGTGGATTTTGGATGTTATTGTACTTTGCTATATGGCCAACAAGTCTACCCCTGGATATGTTTATTTTTTTTAATTTAAGTGTCCTCCAAGACAGTGTCATCCACTGACTGTTGGAGGAGTATATCTTGTTAATTATTTTATATCAGAATAAGAAGGAAGACTAATCTATCTTCCACTTGTTTTTAGCACCCTATTTCCAGCAAGTAAAAACTTACATTTGATCGTCTGCATACCATTCATCTTCATCTGACTTTTCCAACAATAATGCAGTTGTCATGAATGACATTTTCCAAGAAAAATCTGAATGCACAAACACAGAATTAAAAATAGCTTGGTTGGGAATGTCCAAAGTCATATCCAACACTCAAACCACTACACCAATCTGGCTCTCTCAAATCTCCTGTGCAATACCAGCCCTTTAAACTGTCTGGAAGCAAACATGACATTGACATGAGATTGGTGATATACAGTACATTACAACCTGCAGAGCCAGTCCTCATACAAATGGCGTCGCAGGCAAGGAACACTTTGTGTCCCTAATTTGTGGTCCTAGCTTGTAGTCAGACTGTCTGCCTCAAAGAAGGCCCTGCCATGCTACTATTGTTTGTTTTTTAAAATCTAAGACAAAGGACATCATATAAGAAATGGGAAAAGAAAATACTTCAAAGGTATTAGATAGAAACTCACTTTGGCAAGTTGTTCATTTTTGTACTTAGTACACAAGCTCCTGTAGATCTTTTAAAAATATATTTAAAGAGACTTAAGTGCTTCTCTACCTCTCTTAGCTCACTATGTGTGAATGTGCCTTTGACTTATGGCAACTTATGAATTTCATAAGGTTTTCTTAGACAGTACACAGTAGAATCATAGAATCATAGAGTTGGAATAGATCCCAAGGGTCATCTAGTCCAACCCCCTGCCATGCAGGAACTCAAAATCAAAGCATCCCCAATAGCTGGCCATCCAGCCTATGTTTATTCTTAGACATTGCTCAGTATTCTTAGACAATATCAGAGGTGATTTTGTCACTTCTGGAATGTAACCCATAGCATCTGGTTTTTGAGAGTCTGTGTGGTATAGTGGTTTGAGTGTTGGACTAGGATTCTGGAGACCAGGTTCAAATCCTAGCTCAGCCATGTAAAACCACTGGGTGACCTTGGGCATGTCACACTCTCTCAGCCTCAGAGCATGGCAATAACAACCCCCTCTGAAGAAACTTGCCAAGAAAACCCCATGATAGGTTTGCTTTAGGACCTTAGAATTGCCATAAGTTAGCAAAACAACAAATCTGGTATTTGCTAGTGGTCTCCCATCCAAGTACTAATCAGGGTTGACCCTGCTTAGCGTCCAAGATCAGACCAGATGTGATACTTTTAGGGCCATGGAAACCCACTGGGTAATCTTGGCCAAGTCACACTCTCTCAGCCACAGGGGAAGGCAATGGCAGACCTCTTCTGAACAAATCTTACCAAGAAAACCCCATGATAGGTTTGCCTTAGGGTCACCATAAGTCAGAAACAACTTGAAGGCACACAGTAACAACAGTAGGGGGGTTAGGGAGCTGTCATTCCACAACATCTGAGAAGCTTGGATGTTCCCAATCCCTACTACACAGTATCTGGGACCAAGCTATATTTTGTGCCCATGAAGACATGTCTGTGGTCTTGAAATCATTTTCCAGGGCTTGCTCTTGGTGCTATTGCCTGGTATCTGGAGAATGAGCAGAATAGATGGGGTCATTTCAGAAATGGTGGCATGGCTCTAGTTGGACTCCATCAGGCTTCCTCTTTAAGCATTTTCCAACAGAAGCTCTATTTAAGCAAGCTGTTTAAAGTCTGATTTATCCAACTATTGCTTCAGTTCTGGTGACAGGTTTAGTCTTCTGAAGCTGAGCTTAACTATGCGTTGCAATTTGAATTGCTGCTCCTAATGACAGTTTTAACTCTATTCCATTATCATGGTTTTTGGTACATATTTTACATAGATTACATGCAAAATAAAGTTGCTGTAAGACTGAAAGGGCAATCTGGCAATTAACCGGGGGGGGGGATTAAATTTAAATTTAGCAAAAACACTGAGCCGTGATGAATTCATGGAAACACAAGATAATGTTTGTATCTCAAGGCGATTCCAGATGGAGAACTCCTCATGCTAGCAATTAGAAGGCACTCGGCTGCTGTGTTGTCTTTTTCTGCTTAACAGATTTACCTCCTGTAAGGAAAAAAACTGAGGAAGCTGTGCAAAAAAGAGGATTATGAGCAGAGATTGATGTTGTTTGAAACAACTATAAAAGTCAGTGGATAAAGAAGGGCAATGACATGAAAGTCTTCTCAGGCACAAATCTCCCAATGGTTTAGTTCAATGGTTCCCAAACTTTGGTCCTCCAGATGTTCTGGACTTCACCTCCCAGAATTCCTGATTGATGGCCAAGCTGAGTGGAGTTTCTGGGAACTGAAATCCAAAACATTTGAAGGTCCAAAGTTTGGAAACCATTTGCTTCTCTCTGTATTTGGTTGCAGCAGGAAGACATGTGTTGAAGAACTCAGATTCTGAGCTTCACTTACACCAGGCATGCAAGACAATCTTGACACATAAGAAGCATGGCAGACAAATTCCCCATTTGGGCATCTGTGTTTTGTTTTGTTTGTAAAAAGGGTGAACTGGGTCCATGGAGAACAAGGCTCATGTGCCCTTAATGGTTGGGCAGAAGAGTGGCACGTCTCTTGGGTGGCACGTCTCTTCACATGGCATCTGCTGAAATTCTTCCTTTTGCTTTTAACTCTTACAAGTGCAAGAAGTTTGGTCTTATCCTTTAACACCTGTGTTGAAAAAAAGAAAAACAGAACTGAAAAGCAATCAGTATTTTGAGGCCTGACATGTTCTAGGTTTATAGGGATTGCTGCCATGTGCCACCTGTACCCTTGCATCAGGAGTGGGCAACTGCAGCAGGTTGTTGTTGTGTGCCTCCAAGTCATTTTTTACTTATGTTGACCCTAAGGCCATATCATAGGGTTTTCTTGGCAAGTTTCTTCAGAGAGGGTTTGCCATTTGCATCCCTTGAAACTGAGGGAGTGTGACTTGCCCAAGGTTACCCAGTGGGTTTTTATGCTCAAGCAGGGATTTGAACCCTGGTCTCCAGAGTCGTAGTCCAACATTCAAACCTCTACACCACACTGGCTCTCAGCAGGACCAGAGGTTGATTTTTCTTCTTGGAGACCTTCCAAGGTTGTACGGAGAGCCAGAAAGTTTCAAAAAAGCAAAACCACAAACCTAGGAGTGGCCAGACATCCATGTCTGATTTTGTTTTGATTTTTTAATATTAAAACAATGTGCATGTCGCACGGGGTTTCATAACCTAATTAAAAGTGGTATTGCTGCTTCTGGAGGCTTCTAGGAAAGTGAAATTCACCCTTGGAAGAGAGAAAGGCCAAGAAAATAGCAGTCGGGGGGGAGGGCTGCAGGCCATGAAGATAGTGTTTGGAGCTGTATAAATACCGTAGTTGCACCAAGAAATAGAAACTCCAGCATATGCAGAATAAATTTTTTTTTCATGCATCGATGCTGCATGTGTCCATTCTGTTTAAACATCTTATGGATTATTTATTTATTTTCTACCTCATCCTACTAACAAATCATATTTTGTTTGCTGTTGTTGTTAACTGCCCTCGAGTCAATCCCGACCCATGGCGCCCCTATGGATGAGACATCTCCAAGACTCTCTGTCCTCCACTTCTTCTCTGCTTAAATCCTGCAATCTCTTAATACCCATGACCTCCTTAATAGAGTAAATCCATCTAGCCTGTGGCCTTCCTCTCTTCCTCCTTCCCTCCACCTTCCCCAGCATTATTTTTTCATAAGAGTCTTCTCTTCTCATGATGTGTCCAAAGTACGACAGACTGTAAAAAAAAAAGATAGGCTATGGTCTTCATTATGTGAACCTGACTTTCATGTGAGAAGTTAAGCCTATCTCTAAACAGAAATTAGTCTAGCTGCTAGACTCTACCATGTGTTTGCACAATAAATTGTATTTACTTCAGTGATCTATCAAGTGGCTCTTCATCCATCCCCAGTTTTTAAAGATCAAAATACGTGCAAGAATTATCAGTGGCCTACTTGTTGATTGCAAGCTAAAGAAAAACTCAGAAAACCTAGGAGGGAAGAGGGTACAGTGTTATGCAAAAGTCACTTATTTCCGGTGTACAGTCCTGGGAATTTCTTGGTTTCCCAGCTTCTGAATGTACATATTTGCATTTCCCAGAGGGTCTCAGAAGATCTGAATTCCTTTATGCCTTGGGAAGGCTGCTTAGCAGATCGTGGGGTTCTTCATGCTTAAAGAAAGGGAAAACGGAGACAAAGGCCTGTGATATTTTTTTTTTAAATCCCTAGCTGCAGCCCATGGAAAGTTAGCTCTTTAAAATAATTTGTCATATACAGTGGGTCCTTGGTAACCACTGAGGTTTGGCTCTAGGTCCCCCTGTGGATACCAAAATCTGTCAATGCTCAAATCCCATTAAATACAATGGCATAGTAAAATGATATCCCTCATATAAAATGGCAAAATGGCAAAAAGATTTGCTTGTTAGAATTTATATATTTTTAAAAATATTTTCAAGCCGTGGGTGGTTAAATCAGTGGATAAGCAATCCATGGATATGGAAGGCTGATAACTCATGGTGAACCTTAGATGGGACATCTCCAAGAATCCCTATCTTCCACTGCTTTGCCCAGATCCTGCAAGCCCTTCCCCATAACCCCCCGATTGTGTCTATCCATCTGATTTGTGGTCTTCCTCTCTTTCTTCTACCCTCTACCTTTCCTAGCATTATTGTTTTTTCTAGTGATCCCTGCCTTCTCATTATGTGGCCAAAGTACATTAGTCTCAACTTGATCATCTTTGCTTCCATGAAGACCAAAAAAGGAAACTCCCATAAACGGATGTTAAAAATCATGGTTGGAATCCTGTGTCTGGGTTCCCCCAGACTTGTGTCATTTAGATCAGATGAAGCCGGCCAGAAACCCCAGGGCAGGATCGGGCTTGATCCTGCTGTCCAAACACAGATCTGGAGAATCCAGCCTGATCCTGGGGCAAATGGCTTTTATCCTGTGGTGATTGACCCTGGTTTTCCACAGGGTTTCTAGGAAACTCTGCAACTGGGAAGATGCCCCCTTCACTCATTACATTGCCAACCATTGCCCAACTGAGAAGCCCCCCTGTTGCCACATCTGATGTGGAAACAGAGTGACTGGCCATATGGGTGCAGCCAGGTGACCTGTTTCCACATCAGATGGGGCAGTGGGGGCTTCTTCAATCGTGGCCATGGATGGCAAAGTAAGGAACGCATGCCAGTCCCGGTCCAGGGTTGGTGCAGGGATAGGTGCATAAACACCCATCCATCTCTTGCTGACCAAGGGACCAACCTGGGTGAGCACCAGGGCCAGGATAGCACAGGCTCAACTAGGGCTGCATCCACACTGCAGACATTTTCTCCTGGCTTAACCCCCAACCCCATGGAAACTGACAGAAGGAACCTCCTTCTCTCCATGCACCTGATGTCTGCTAAAGTAGGATTGCGGGAAGGAAGGGATTATGACCGTAAACAAAATAGTGTCAAAATTGTACCTAAGTAGGGATCATGGTCTAGAAACCATAAAGCCCTGTAAGGAGTTTCTTAGGGAGCTGGGTATGTTTATCCTGGAGAAGAGAACAGTAAGAGGTGATAAGATGGCCATGTTTAAATATTTGAAGGTATAGGGGGTTGCAGACTGCCAGAAATAGTGCAAATTGAGTCCACTTTTAGGGTTAGGGTTAGGGTTAGGGAATCATGGGAACTGTATTTTATTGTGGCACCAGAGCTCTCTGACAGAGAAGGTTCAATGTCTCAGAAAAAAAACAATTCCCATGATTCCCTAGCACTAACCCTAACCCTAAAAGTGGACCCAATTTGCACTATTTCTGGCAGTCTGCAACCCCCCTAAGTCATATTGAGGCTGGAGCATGCTTGTTTTCTGCTGCTCCTGAGACTAGGACGTAGATCAGTGGATTCAAACTATAGAAAAACAGATTCCACCTCAACATTAGGAAGATCTTCCTGACAGAAAGAGCTGTTCAACAGTGGAAAAGGCTGCCTTTTTGAGT